CGCGTCGCGGCTGGCCTCTTGGTACTGCGCCCTCCATAGGATGAGCAAAATCGAATGAATCTGGTGCTATAGCGTGGGAATATACACTGCCATACTTTTTTTCGTTTTTTTTTTCCGTTTTTTTTCGTTCGTCTCACTCCGACGTTCGGGATGCCTGCGCCCGGTAGTCCGAGCCTCGGCACGGATCGGCGTACCGGTCGGCCGAGGCTCGGACTCGATAGCTGGGCCAGGTACTGGTGGTTTAAGAAAAAAATAATCGTGTCAAGCTGATTCGATGCATTTTCCATTTTTGTCACTCTGCCCTGTATAGGCCAACAAAAAAAGTACTGCAACTTCAGTGATTTTTCGCATTTAGAGGAACGCGTGAAAAACCCTGAAAATTGGAGAGCTCGTAGACTCTACCGTGATCTTTCCAGGGAAAATATTAAATTAGGGCGTCGTTAGACACTCCTTGGGGACGTGAAATCCACAAGGACGCGCTCGTTCCACCTGTCATTGGGGGCAAAATTGAAAAAGAAATGTGAAAACGCCACAAGGAAAATTCCTTGTGGCATCCTTGTTGCCCCAGCCATTTGTTCCTTGTGCCCAAGGGACCTCGTGAGGTCCCTTGGGCACAAGAAATCCGCGTTTCATGGAGAGAAGAGGGCACACAGGTAGACAGACGTTACAGCTGAGAATTTGGATCGTGGCGGCACCCTATTGGCTGGAGGCCTGAGGCACAACTGTTTTTTTTTTCCTTTTCTTTTTTTTGTCTGACATCAGTCTTAGGGAATGTCCTCGGGCGACGCCCCCGAGGACAGGTGGAATGCAGAGCCCAAATTCCCTTCTGAGCCACAAGGAAAATTCCTTGTGGCGCAAGGAAATCGTAAGGAGTGTCTAACGACGCCCTTAATCTGAAAAATTTCATTTCAACCGTGAAATAGATCACTTTGGCAATTTGAGCCATATTGCATTTTCGCCATTCTCTCTCTCTCTCTCTCTCTCTCTCTCTCTCTCTCTCTTGCGCGTGCACATAACCCCATTGCTTTTGGTGACAATTAGCAACCCTAAGGCTACAGTATGGTGGATTGAAGAGTCTGTGTTCACAGCACAAAGGCAGCACCGAACGCCAACACATCAGCCCCCCCACTCCCTCTCTCTATCTTTCTCTCTCCCCCTAGCTCTAATAGAAAAACAAAAGTAATGCAATCCTTTAGGGCTGCGTACAATGTGTGTGTGTGGGAGAGTGCTGGTCATAGACAGGGGGCGGGGGAAGTACATGGGAGGCGCAGCTACTAGCAAAATGCTCGGTCTTTGTGTTAGCCGGCCCCCCCACTGGAGGCTACACCCTGCACCCTGACCACCGCCTATCAGGGCGGGGGGCAACATGCTATAATTGCAGGGGTCCCCTGTATAGCCTGTATAGGCTTAGGAGTAGTGGTAGGTAGGCAGTGAAAGGTGAAATTGACAGAAGAATATAGCTTAGTAACCTCAGGTCCTCAGTTGAAAAAAAACAGGAAAACAAAAAGAAGATTGAGGCGGTAGTGAGACCTGGCTCCGCTTGCCTGGGCACCGCCCCTTGTGTAGAACTGGAGCCGGGGACGTGACCCCGGGGCCAGTGTAGAAGTCCGTTACTGCTGGCGGTGGGCATAGGCGAGCCCAGAGAAATTGGCGGGCGCGGGACATCGGCATGCAGGCGGCCGCGGCGGGTTACGATTTTGAAAAAAGCTTGTTGGAGGAGCGGTTTGGCCCAGCAGGTCTCTGCGCGCCAAGAATTCGAGACAGCGGGCAAACTGGGAGTAACGCCTGGGGGCCAACGAAAGGACATCTCCATTCCCGACGCTGACGGTGATGCAACGTCAGTGCGCCATCGCGCCAGGCGAGGAAAGACGAGGATGGCAACCCCTAACGGCGCAAGAACGCGGGGGGAAAGGAAATGGGAAAGAGAAGCGCAGCGGGGGAACGAATGACTGACTAGCGCGAAAAAGGCGCGGCCATCCGGCGGACCAGCGGGCCGATGCGCAGACACCGATGTTATTCCTCCTTTCGCCTGTGTTTCACGGCTTGGATAGAGGAGTACTTTTCTCTTCCGAAGCTATTGGGTGAAGACGGCGGGTTGAGCGGACTCTCTCGCTCTCTCTCTCTCTCTCTCCCCGCCTCAACTTCTCTCTCTCTCTCCCTCTTCTTCAACTGCTTTCTCTCTCTCTGTCAACGTCTTTCTCTCTCTGTGTGTCAACTTCTCTCTCTCGCTTTGTGTCAACTTCTCTCTCTCTCTCTGTGTCGACTTCTCTCTCTCTCTCTCAACTCTCTCTCTCTCTCTCTCTCGGGTTCGGTTGGCGGTGAAGGGATTGATATATGTTTGACCTCCTTGTCTGCCTGTCTGCGCGTCATTCTGCCTCCCGCACCAGTTACTCGTCATTTAGTGGAAGCATCTCCGCATCTGTGCTTCATTTGTCTCTCCCTCTGTGCGTGTCTGTGCTGTCCTCTTTCTTTCTCTCTCTCGCTCTCTACACTCATCGCATCATTCTTCTTCGTTTTCTTTTCCCGCAGTGTGCGTGTTTTTCTGTGTTTCCCCCTCTCTCTCTCTCTGTGGGTGTTTCACCTCCACTCCCTTTCGCTCGTTCTCTCCCCTTCCGAACTCGAATCCCTTTGGAGGGAGTGTGTTCGTCTCTCCCCTCCTCTCCCGTCCTCTCCCCTTCCCTCCTCTCCCCTCCTCTGCCCTTCCCTCCTCTCTCCTCCTCTCCTCCTCCTTTCCTCCTCCTCTCCTGTGCTTCTGCCGTCCTCTTCCCTCCTCTCTCCTTTCTCTGCCCTCCCTTTCTCTCCTGTATTTGTGTTGGCCCTTTCTCTCCCCTCCTCGGTCTCGACAAGTTTTCTGTGCGATAAGACGGTCATGGCACCTCCACTTGGACATGGCAGAACTGGAGTTATCGCCGAGGTTCGATCCGTGCCCTCCACTACTCGTGTGACTTCCAAGACCTTGAAGACGCCGTTACTTTCTCCTCGTAGATTCGGTGTACTGAGTCCTAATAATGACGAGACGGAGCGGCAGCGCGCGCGTGACGCGCGCGCGGCTGCGCAGAATCTGTTCCGCGCATCCGGCGCTGAAAAAGGGCGGCAAGATGGCGCAGTCGGCGAGGAGACAGGGGATGGTCGATCGGGATCGGGATCGGGGGGTGGGCTGAATCGCCAGCAAGTGCTCGATCTCTATCAGAATTGCATAAAGCTGGCATCGGAAAACGTAAGTGGTGACCCCCCCCCAACCCTTACACCCCCCCCAAAAAAAAAAGAAAAAAGAAAAAAAAGAAAAAAAGAAAAAGAAGTAGAAGAAGAAAAGAAGAATAAAGAAAAATAGAAGCAGAAAAAAAAGAAAAAAAGAAAAAAAAGAAAAAGAAGTAGAAGAAGAAAAGAAGAAAACTTTTGCCGGAACGAAAGACGATAGAAGAGGAAGGAGATCAGAGAAAAATGAGATATAAAAATTAGCAGGGAAAATAACGGCGTCGGACGGAGGAGAAGGGTGAGGAGAAGGAGAGCTCAGAGAAATCGTGAATTCTCTGGCAGCAGGTCATGGGATCGACCCCTCCCACTGTCTCTTGGAATAAGCACACTATGACTTTCACGAATGTATCTGACTGCAATTACGGGCGGTGGTGGATGTATCTGACCGCGATTCCATCCACAGACGAGTAGGAAGAATCCTAGTGTGAGGGCACCCTCTGTTTCGCAAATGCATCCTATGCATAATTATACAACCAAAAGAAGGAAGAGAAAAAGAAGAAACAGCCAATAAGGTGACAGGAGCATAACTAACGACTGCAACTTGCTTTTCAATCGAAATTGGACTCTGTTATGGATGTTTTACCTTTAAAAAGAAAAATATGAAATGAAAAAAAAAAAAAAAAAGACGACTTGCTTTTCAATCGAAATTGGACTCTGTTATGGTCGTTTTAGCTGTAAAAAGAAAAAAATGAGAGAAAAAAATAAAACACTGCAACTTGCTTTTCAATCGAAATTGGACCTTGTTATGGTTGTTTGAGCGTTAAAAATAAAAATAAAAGAAAACAATTGTGGTTGTTTCCATTCTTTGCTGCCAAAAATGGCACGGTTCCTCTAGCTGTATTTTGGGCTGCTTTCGGTCTAGTTACAGGGGTAAGGACTTGTTCATTCCTTTTATTGGGGGAAAGACAGGCGGTAATTTTAATTTGGGGGGACAAAAATGGCCCTTGTGTGTCTGAAGAGGGGCGGTTGACAGGGGTCTGAATTTTTGCCCTTTTGTCATGCCATTTGTCACAAAAACCCAAAACGTTTTTAATCAAACTTGTTACCGATGCAGAGAGGGGCCACTGAATGAACTTATGACAAAAAAAAAAAAAGAAAAGCATAAAAAAACTTAGTCAAAAATGCATTTTCATGCAAAATTCGCCCCAAGACTTTTTTCAGAAATTTCCGAAATTTACGAAATTTCAGAAATTTCAGAAAATCTGAGCGATCTTCAAGGTAGTCTTTCCCAACAGTCCAAAAGACACCAGATTTGGCACACACAAACCTTGGCCAAAACCGAAATAGGCAACCCCCCCCCCCCTTCCCCCCCTTCGGGGGGGGGGGTTCTCTAAACCCAACTTTCAGCGGGAGACCCACTCCTGAGACGCTGAAACTGGGGGGGGGGGTTCCGTGTTGAAATCAGTTGTGTGTCTGAATGTATCTCTGAATGTATCTGCAGCTTGCGGGTGACTAGGTGCATGGTTTGCACGGAGGTTTCCACGAATTTTGCCGGGAGTATTTTTGGACGACGCTGTTGACCAGATCCATTTAATTGTCATTCAACGACGGCACTGATTCATGAATTCTCTCTCCCTCTGTCTTTTCTTTTCTCAATTTTTTTGGAGGCAAAGAAAACCGCGTCGAGTCCGACAAGGCAACGGAAGTATCGCCGGCCGTGGTGTCAGACCGGGTATCATATTTACTGTATTATAGGGGTCGGTCGTGGTGTCAGAGAGGGGAAAAAAAAGAAGCCCAATTTCGAGTGGGCGCGTGGTTTCTTTGCCGCCGCCAGTTTTTTTTTGCCTTTAGGGTTTCAAAACAAACGTGCCGCGTCCGCCGTTATTTCTTTTTTTTTATTATTATTTTTTATTTTAAAACAGACATCCAAAAAATCTCGATAAACAACGAGTAATCAGTATCACCGTAATGACGTTATTATTATTTTTTCGCACAACAAAGAGAGAATCAACGTTATCAATCAATCAAACGGAGTTTATTTTTGCTCTTTTTTAAAAGATAAAGAAAAAGAAACGAGGAAGTGCATCTATCAAATGGGCAATCTGAGGCACAAGTGGTTAACAGGGATTACCCCCACCTTTCTTTCAGGCCGTAGGTCAACAGCTGTCTCTTATACACATCTAGATGTGTATAAGAGACAGGTATCACCGTAATGACGTTATTATTATTTTTTCGCACAACAAAGAGAGAATCAACGTTATCAATCAATCAAACGGAGTTTATTTTTGCTCTTTTTTAAAAGATAAAGAAAAAGAAACGAGGAAGTGCATCTATCAAATGGGCAATCTGAGGCACAAGTGGTTAACAGGGATTACCCCCACCTTTCTTTCAGGCCGTAGGTCAACAGAGCCCTGAATTTTCAGGGTTTTCTTCATGGTCTCAATTATAACAAAAACCCGGTCTTACTTGTAATTATAACAAAACCCCTAAAGGGCCTAAACCTTTTGCAGTTTATTTTTTTAGTCCAATATTTAAAACAAAACTTGTCACCAATCTATAGAGAGGACACGAAATAAACCAAGAGCGCGCAAAAAGAAAAGAAAGGGAGCCCAAAATACTGAGGCAATTTTTTTTTCCCCTAAAGAAAATTCAGAATTCACTCCTGCTCCCTGACTCTTTTCAGGATTTGCAGGATTTGCAGGGCTTGTCAAAACCACCATGAGCCAGAAATAAAAGAAAGAATACCAAGCTCTCCAAAATTTCAACAAAAAACAGACATGAGACAAACAGAGCTTGACCTGAACAAGATAGCACCCCTCCCCCCCCCCCCCCCCC